CAAATGCGGAATAAATCACACATGATTGTATGATCCCCAAACAACTGACGGTTTGTTTATTGAGTGCAAATGTTGGTACATGGGCTTTGGCGGGTCCTAGGGCAAATTGTCGAGCGCTGGCCCCAAAGTGCAGTGTAGAAAGCATTTCGGAAATATTATTCAAGTCCCTCGTCACGGTACGATCAGGCAAGTTTGAAAAAAAAAGAAAACTTACTTGGATGAGTTTTATCACCACTTGGGTGAATAACGTTTTCCAGAGAGCTGGTCACACTGGGAAGAGAAACACTCTTTAATTTGCCTGAGGAGTTATGTAGGTTGAACACCAATTCTCTGCTAGACAAGCTGTGTTGATTTTCAAAGTCTGTGAGGTTCCATTCACCGTCACTATCAAATGAATTAGACTTGCACAACATGAAATGAGTACAGTCGGTTCGTGGGAAGGGTAGAATTATCACCTAGCAAAAAAATTAAAACCAGTTTCTGTAGTGAATATTATTGTAAACGTTTCTTGTTTGGAGATGTCATCTGTAGGGTTTTGGAATTCATCATACTCAAGAATGAAAGGATTTTTTTTGTCATTCGACCTAACTACTTATTTCCACACTGTTTTCGGTATGGCAAACATGGCTAGCTCTTATCCTCACAAATGTAAATAGGTTTTTTGCGTCACTACCGAGACCATGTTGAAGCATTTTGGTGAGTTTCGTACGTCGGTAAGGAATGTGAAGTTGATTGTTGCCGAGGGCCAAAAAAACCGGGGAACATGGGGTAAAAACGGACCAGGGAAAAAGACAGATAAACCCAAAGTCGACATTAAGTACATTTCATACGTGAACATTTCTGGAAATAATAAAAGGAAGAATACCTAAAGGGAATTGCAATCAGTGCCAAATTGGCATACTGTAGCTTCGAGAAAACTGACAGTGGGGCATTTATTTTACCAAAGCTGCGGGGAAGGTGCATTTTCTAATGAAGTTGCATTGCCTGTTGAATAAAATAACATACTGAAGTTTGCTCACTGTCTATTTGCATCCCCGAAACTTGGAAAACACTACTTTTAATGTTAGATAAACTGGCTCCAATCAACTGAACCTGTTCCTTTATTTTGACTTCTAGGTATTGACGATGAAGATTAGTCCACCAAGTGATAGAACAATCTTTAACCGATGAAACTGGTCAATGAGTAATAAACCTTGGGGAACGAATTTTGGGATAATATTCTCCATCATTCGAGCAAATCCACTTTGCTTGCTAAATTGTTCATTGTGCTAGTGTATGCATAAGTCTCATCTATGTTATTGATGCTTTGTTACTCTTTTTGATATCAGTCCAACTTGAAATATATTTATTTATGCTGATTGTCCAACATGATCCCATTGCTGTCATTTTGCCCCCGGGGTTTACCAATGTGGCGAAAAAACAAAACACGAAGCATAGGCATATTGGTTCTTGCAACTTACCATTCCTTTTTCACTATTCACTTTCTGTTTATTATATAAATTGGTAAAATATCTACGGGAGAAGGCACGTAAAATTAGAGGCTGTCAAGTGGAATAGCGATCGACGGTGCCGACAGGATTCGAACTCTCTATCCACCATAGGAGGATTTGCAAACCACCTTGATGAGTAATTTACCAGCGCTTGTCAGTCAATAACCAAAAGATAGACACGGTTGTTTTTTGTCGCCCGTTTCTCACTTTGTGATTTAAAATAAAATCTCCGCAAATGTCTATCTCAGCTCCTTTGAAAAGGCAACCACTTTTTTTCTGACTTTTATTAGCTCCGTAGAGAAAGACTTTTATCACCATCAGCTCCTCGAAATAAAAAGCTCCAATTATGACTGTGTTTAAAGGAATACAGCCGTAAGCGTCACTCAATTCAGATCAGTGGGCAAAACAAGATGCTAAGACGTTTAAATGGACCAATGCATAAATTTACAGATTGATATGCTTCGCCTCAATAAATCACACAGTGTCAATTGGCATAGACTAACGGTGCCCGAGATTCAATCTAATCCAAGCACACAAACCGAGACGTCTACAACCTCCCATATTTAGACCGTCGAATTAGCCAAATTAAAAAATAGAAAGAGACCTAGCCAAACTAGAAAGTTCAGATTTACAGTAACAAGTGACTCCGAAATTTGTATCGATTATTTGTGAACATCTTCACTTGGGATTGCAACTTCCAAATTTCATAGGGAATCTTCATCTCTCACATTTAAAATATTTCTATGTTTCTAATCAACAACTGCGAAGCGGACCACTGGTTCTTCTTGCAAAATCTGCTGAAAGAAATCCGAGAAAGCCAAACTGACATCATTAGCTGACTAAAGTCTCTCGTCGATGCCTCTGACGCTGTGTTCTGAGGTGGGCGCAACATGTTCTGTTGCACTGCGTAATACGTGTTGACAGCATGAATTTGATGACGGCAAAACAGAACTACTTATGATGCATGCTTAGTTTCGACAATACTATTGACAGTGAAATGCCTAAAGCATTTCAGATTTGTACTCAACATAATACCAAAATCCTGTTCATGGTTGAGAGGTTTCGCAACCTATTAGTTCCTATTTGTAAACTTAATCTCAAAATAAGGTGGTTGAATAACTCTGTCTTATTGCTTTTTAAAGTGACCAAAGAACAATTACCTACCTCAGCTGTTTCCACCGGACATTATTATCATACACTATCGTGCCCCATCATAAACGAAAGTGGGAAGGTCAGTGCACCCAGTTCAAAGGCTTCGTTCCAATGCAGCATAAAAACTTCATAGGTTGCCTGACTGACACAACGCTGAAACCAGCCGGTCATCCACTAAGAGAAAAAGGGGTACCTAGATATTTTCCGCAGAAAAAACACGGATAAAAACCCTCCACCAATATACCCGAAAGTCCCGAAAGGTACGTTTCAAAAGGGGATACGTTTGCAGAGGCACAAATCCGCTAGTTATCTAACACGGTAACGAAAAGTCTGATGCATTCCTAACTAACCCTGCGTTCATCAATAAACCACGTGTATAACTGGAACACTACGACAAGTTTCCGGATTTTTCGAACTCATTCTGTGTACGATGTTGACAAAGAGCACGCCAAAATTCTGGGAAAGTCGAATTCCTCAACTGGCTACTGTAACGTTTGTTAGTAAACAAAAAGAGGGGAATACAGCAACGCGGAATATAATGTCGTTTGAAAAAATTTACGCGAAAATTGAATAACAGAGGAACAAATTAGCGGAACTCGCCAGTATCCATTGTCGAACAATAGCTGTAGGCACCACAATAATCTCAAAAAATGAGTTCATAGGAGTTATATTCCTCATAATTATATGGGGTACAAATAATGATGATGCAAAATAAGATTGATTGTCCAGTCAGGTTGTTTTCAGGAATACAAACTCAATTGGTGCTAATTTTATCCCTAGTGTTGGTATATATATGCAACAAACCATTGTTCCAATAAATTGCCATGGATCGTGCTAAAGTGGCACTCATAATGTGATTGGATTTTCACCGCCTGGAAGATACGTCGTGCAATCTTATTCTCTACACGTGTGTTCAACGACAGCTGGTGCGTCAAACGTCCTCTCTGATAAGAAAAACTGGTCCGGTGAGCTTCACCGACTTCACTTGAGTGTCTCGTTTATTGCCAGGGTGTCACACTCTTTTTCGTTTTTCATTCTGTACGATGTGCAAAGCCCCTATTATTTGTATTTAGGACAGTATGGTGATGCATTCAAATATGCAACGAGAAATATCTCTGAATATATTAGGTGTACACGGTATCCCGCAGTGTCTTGGAGGTCATTCATATGACTCCTACAACAATCGCAAATATTTAAAAGGTCTTTTTAGTCCTAACACTAGAAATACTCTTGGGTATAATTATATCATCCTGTATCCACCCCTCATATACTACTCTTTTATCGCATATATTCGGGCTTCAATAAGTCACTTATTGACCGATCTATTTTTTTCGTTCGCTTCGTTTAAATTTGCCATCTAAAACGTACATGTTTGAGTCGCTTGCACATTGTGTAAACCTTGCAAGTGGCTCACCACAAGGCATTTCTCGTCATGACTAAAAAAAATGACGAAATGTACGAGATGCACAAGGTCCACCAAAAGTGATTGATAGGTTACTCTGGAATAATCATGGAATTTGCGAGGCATTCCTTCGGCCTAAATAAATGCTTTAAATGGTCTGAGTCAAATCTGCCATTTAAGGCAACAAAGTTTCGGCAATGCGACAGAGATGACGAATTGCCGTCGGGGTACTCTAAAGAGACTAACACTACTGAGGGGTGAAGAATAGACGAAGAAGGACCTTGAAACAACAGTAGAGATTTTTTTTGAAAAGGGCATATTATTGGCAAAGTGTCTTGGCATTACGCGTTATTCATATTTAGATGATGAATTTATCCACAGTCTCGCTAGTAGGAGAGAACGTCCCTTATCTACACCGCGTTCCCCGTTACAGTAGGTGGATATTGCTAAACCTGCATCGTGCTTCGAGCCCACAGGCACGCATAAATCTCCTTGATTGTGGAACGTTTCGAGAAATATCGTGACAATGTTTTTCTCTTCATGTAACTACGTGAATAGTGGTTGACCAAAACTATCATCACCATATATCATCAAGCAGTCACAGCACTACATGGTGGTGGACATAGACAAGGCTGAATGAATGCACTATTTGTGTGCCCCAACAATCCTATCATAGTTGGTGAAGCAGTCGCACCTACCCAATTTTGGCCACCGCACACATTTACTTCCAGGCACAGTTGATTCCATGGCCATACACACCAACAGAACTCTTTTACGGACTGGGTTCATTAGATTATCCCAAAGACTGTCTCACTACTGTTTTTGTGTTGCAGTCAGCTCACACATGCACACGCGCATTCATGCACCCACAAATCTACACACCGCAACTAACCCGAATGAAAGCTTGCAAAACCCAAAATGTAATAAACGTGAATACCAATGAGACGCAGTCAAATATGAAATGGACAATCAAGCTGTTTCGGCCCCCGACAAAACTGAGTAGCTTTTCTCAAATTCTGAGAAGAACCGGTTTATCTTCCTCCGTGAATAATAGTTTGGTATTTGTGCTGGAGAAGATCGCTTCGAGTAGCCGATTCGTGATAACGCCGAGCCTGGTCTCGAGAATTTTCCATCGATCGAAGACGTGAGTGACTTCTGTTTGTTTGATGGTATTTGCTTCATTTTACCTTGTAACACAATTCGGAGTAGTAAGTTTAAAATTTCGATTCTGCCATGGTGTTCGCGCATCCCTTAACCACACCGTATATCTCTACTATTTATCCTGTGGAACGAAGTACTTAGGAAGAAAAACCAGGTGCCTGTCTGATCGAGTTCAGGGGCACTGTGCTGCACCGTTAATCAATGGGACCAGTAGGGTGGTGCCCACCGCAATGCTCACCCATGCGTTTGGTACAAGACACGCAGTAACGCGTGATGGATCTTTTAGAATCATCTATGGTCATAAAATCGCTCTATTGCTGAGGCGATTGTAACCAGCTTACGCATACCAATCCTATGATAGCACAAACAGTTTGTCAAGACACTACTGCTCCTGTGGCCCAAGGTCAACGTCAAGGTTTGCGAAATACACAGTACTGATTGACCTGGTGGTTAATCTGCCCAAATTAGATTTGACAATTATTGTTTTCTGCACTGACGGGTATACTGTGAACGATATTTCTGAGAAACACAATGGTTGAATCATTGAGAAAATACTTTTCCGACAGAGCTTAATCTCAGTTAGTAGAAGAACAAGGTAGCCGGGGTGTATTCGAAACTTCTGGTGTTCCCTGTCCGTCGTGGGATCTTCTCCATGTGGCAGTGATTCGTTAGACGCGGCCCGCTTCCTGAGTTGTTGTACATTGCTGTTTAACAAATAGAAACGAAGTAAGAAGGATATCTACTTATTTTATTTATTTTGCCTTTTTATTGTGGCATTATGATTTGGCATGCGGTATTTGGCTAGTTTCTGGAGTAACAAAAATATGTTCAGTACTTTTTCAACCCGTAAATTACTAGGGTTTTGCTGGTGCACAGGAAACCCGGGATTTCGAGTCCATTCTATTCAAGATGATCGTCAAATGTTTATTACATAAAAGTTTCGTCTGATAAAGTGCCAATTCGTTACTAGCTTCACTTGTGTATTGATGATACACATATTGGTCAACTAACATTCAATATTGCTAATCACTGTAGGTAGGGAGTTACAGATCGAATGCCAAAACGTTTGGGCTTGATCATTGGAAAACTGGTGAAAACGTGAACCAGAGTTTTGTTGCACTTATTTAGTGAATGCACTTATACAGCATCACCAAAACTAGTCATTTACTGTTGATTGAACAGTCATTGCAAATATTTTTGCGTTTTCTATCAAACACCAGTTTCGATGTAGAAGTGGTGTTGTTCACAGTACTGTCATAGTCAGTTTATGACCTCACGACCCAAGGTTGGAATTGCGCCAGCTTCGGACAAAATGTAAAATGCGTATAACGGGTAATCGCTCGAAGTAGATCAGGGTGAAAAATTCCAAACCATTCAAAAAAGAACAACTGAAAGAGGACGATAATTGTCAGGAATCCGGAGTAATCCATGTGAAAGCAAGCTCTGATTTATTGAAAATTATTCCATTTTCAAATGTTTTTCCTCAGATTGACCTACGTGGATTTCTTCGCTCAGGGGATCATAGCCGATAGTGAAACATTACATAAAAATATACTTTATTCTTATCACTATATGTGTGTTAATTTGGAATCTTCGTAGGCATATTTTCAAATTGTAGAGACAAAATCTTATGAAGGGAAGACCGGAGATATACTTTTGCTTAAGCACATCCATTTGTGGACAAATAGCATCTACCGCATCAGCATTCTACTGCAGTGACGTTTTTCAAAGATGTGGAAAACTCATCGGAAGACAACTCCGCCGATCCGATTTCAGCAATGCAATCTAGAAGTGAAAATATTTTCATATAGGTTTCAACAAACCATTACTCGATTGGACAACATTAGGATGCTCGATGATCACGTTTCTGTAATTGGAACAACGTTTCGAGTGCCGAGATGGGGCGAACATTGAATGACAAAACAGTAAACGCTCAAGTGACACCACCAGTATATGTTGCCTTATGTAAAAAGAAACCATCGGTTTTCGATTGGGACATACCCAACATAATGTGCGGCATCTTGCAACAGGCGTTTCATCTCCCCCAGATTGAACGTGCATCTTCCTTGATCCTCGTGAACGGATAAAGCTTACGACGGATCGTGTCTTCGTGTAGCTTAATCGTGTTCATGAATACACGTTGCGAAGTTTCTCTCTATTAGACGGAAGCAATTTGTGACACGGACCTTCCAGCTGATCTTCTATATGACGTTTCTTTTTTTCGGTTTTTAGTTGTTCTTTTGGTTTTTATGTGATTTGTCTCAGCAAACTGCTGGATTTGTGACCGTCGGTGACGCATCACATCGGCATAACATCGTTTTGGTTGAAAGTTCGTTGTTGATTTATGCACGGATCAAACATTTTTAGCTGGCCAGATATTTCGCACACGCACTCACCTGTCATCACTAACGAGCATTGTGCAGTCGATCACCGAGTACTGTGTTAGAAACTGGACTGATATGGCTAAATGAAATACATTCCTGCTAGTGGCCTAATAAATAACTTTGTTTGCCAACAAATGTATTCAGGAGTCTTGTATTAAATGCCGTATCTTTCACATTTTCAGACTGTGGATCGTTTTTCGGCTTTTATATCGACACACGAGATTGAGCACCCACTAAGCACCAGTTGAAATTGTGGTCTATATTTGGTTAGGTTGTATTTAAAGAAAGCGGTCATTGTCAAGCATACGTTTTTTCATATCCGCACGTGCAAATGCTTTATCTTCGCCTGCTTCACTCAAATCCTCTTCGTCGTGGCTCGGATAATTTCTTCATTGATGCAGATAACTCGATCCATTGAAGCAGTACTCCAAACTCAAATGTTGTCTCAGTCTTTCGCTTAGGCCTATATTTGAGTTCTTTTCGGATCCAACGGAATTCCAAGAACACATTTCCCGTGGTCGTTATGATAATATTCATGCGCTTGCTATGAGTGACATGCTAGCAAAGTCTGCGTGAACCACTGATACAACAGGTACTCCATAACAAATGCGAGTAGCTTGGACTGCCTTCCCAAAAATCGCGCCGATCTTCCAACCCATATACGAAACAATCAGACAAATGTTACTAGAATATGCTCGATGTAAAATGCTCAGCAAAACTTTATACGACATTCTGGATTGATTTATCAAACCTTTTTACTCAATATGTTTGAACAACAGACACTTACCATCTAATAATTTTTCTCCGTGCACGAATATCCATGCTGTGTATTATTTCGATGGATTTGAGCCGTCCCCGATGCCTCATTGGGTTAAACAGGTTGATTGATGGTATCTCAGTAGGCGAAAAAAACGAGTAACCATATACTTGTGATATATATTCGTTTTGAGTTACGGTAAACTAATCAAAATACACTCACGAATCGCAAAGTCTGGTACCTGGACTCGAGGAATATTGAAAAAGCTCAGCTGTTCTGAGTCAGTCAGTGCGAAAACATGTACTTGCAGGCTTGGAAAAGCCTTGCATTTATTATTTAAATTTTGTGAACCTCAGGATAGTCTCATGCATCTCACCAATGCATGCGGATGTTCGAGAAGGAATATTGTGAACACAGGATGTTGCCAGCTTTTTTCCATTTCATCTAACTGTTTAAAAATGGCAGTTTTATCTCAAAACAAAAAAGTGTTTTATAGATTTGGGCAGACTACAGCAGTTCATTGATGAGTATCAGTACTGCAACAACTATTTCAATATAGAATAGTGAATAGCGGAAACGGCTACTCAGACTAGCACTTTTTGCCTCTGATGGTTTTCGTGAAATTCCCAGACTTTCCAACGTCACCCGATGGAATTTTATCTGATCAGAAGAGAAAACGGCTCAATGTGCCCAACGGAGGATGAATTTTACAACTGTTCACAGTTTGAGTGAGCTCGACCCACGTCTGTTCATGATAAGTTCACTCAGGTAAATTGTAACTAACACAGTGGTTCAGGGCCGTACATGGGCAACGACGAATACGTTTCCCTTTCTCTAACGGTTGCAAATGCTGGAAAGTGCTGCTAAAACTAACGGCCTGGTAAAAGTAATTTACTTCGTCATTTCGAATAATAAACTCTTAGTATATCATTAGGCCTCGATAAATGGATAACCTGTTTTCGGCGACGGGATAGTTAGAAAAACGGCAAAATAAACGCGTACAGCAGCACCATGGAGCAACTAATTTGGAAGAAAGAAACGAAGTGGCCTAACAGGTTTACGTGGTGGTGACGATTCTTTGTTTGTTCCATGTTCACGAATCGTTGAACCACTCGGAATGCAAAAAATATAACCTTAACAAGAATGCAGTTGAAATCCCTCTTAGTGTATTTTTCGCAGATGTATATTGAAATCAAATAATTGGGTAGTTAAAAAACTTTTTTTAAACGAGTATAAAGATATTCAACGCAATGTCTGCTAGCATGACACTTCTTAGTTTTTCAGCTATTTTACAAAGGATTCCACAAGGCAGCAATAAATTATCCTTTATTATCATAAAGTTCGTTGTTCAAACTTTTGTTATCACTCCAGAAAGAACAATATCTGGAGCGTATTTCTTCCGCAAATCTGTTTTAGTATCGTCCTGAAACTTGCTCATTTTGATGAAAACGAATGTCATTTTAAAAGACTTTCCAATAGTGATTCGTTTCAAAAATCACGTTGATATATTCTCATATAATATTGGGTTTTAGTGACCATTTTATCTTCGACGTAATAAAACACGCAATAACTTGTAGCAGAAAGATTCTGCCTTGGGATTTTACAGTTTCTTTTTCATTGTTTATTTAGTCTATGCCCACGCGCGTGTTTTAGCTAAGTTTATCACATTTCACCGCACAATCTGGTGCTAATTACCAATCAGACTCAGTTTGGTATTATGCGAATGGTCAATTTGTGGTCGTTGAAAGGTATTCGCTTAGTGTCCTATCCTCTATTGCGTAATCAATCACGGGTCAGGCTGTGAGATGTGATCAATAACTGGTGTGGACTTGGTCTTTCTTAGGCTGTGACTCGGCACTCTTTTATACGAGAATTGGCACGCACATATTTTATCAATATGATGGAATCTGGTTTGTTGTCTTTAGTGTACATTTTATCGTTATTTTGAAAGCAGATAAATTATTTCCCTCATAATCAGGAGCTGATAACAAAATTGCAGTTTATTTGGACTTCAAGGTTGAGAATAAATTTAAATGAATAGTTGATTGGATAACAAATGCTTGAACTTCAGTGGTGTTACCGGTAAAGTGAGGGTGAAAAGCTCTTCGATGATAGAAAAACCACGCCTCAAAGGATTGTGCTGCTTGGAAGAAAGACGTGAACCCCGGATAGCCAAAAAAGATGTTCAGAAAAGGAGTTTTTGATGTATGGAATAGTCATTTTTATTTGAATAAATGTGGTAGGTTGGAACAACTTGATGGTGGTTTGTAGGAGGTCACAGGGAACTTGGTTGCTTTGAAGATTGTGAGTACCACAAACGATTTCACAATTTTGATAGACGCCGAGTATAACGATTTTTTCCATAACTAATTTCACGGATGAATTCAACTTGACGAAGCCTTGCACTTTTTGTTATACGTAAATGCCATTAATCCTCATAGCATTACCAAATTTGTAATATGCAAGTGATGCGTATAAAGCACATGATCAATTTTCTAAATAATTAGGAGTATGCTTCGGTAGTCTGCTAGTTGAGCTGGGAAGATGCATCCGTGAATTGGTTGGTTCACAACCCATAGTACTCTAGTCGCAGTTCGGCTGATTGTCACGCAAATGTACTGCGCAGCTGTCCGATTATATCATGTGATTTCGAGAAATTTTCAGAACGGATCAGTATTATGTAAAAAAACCAAGTTAGAACGAGTTTACTCTCTCATTTACTTAGAAGAAAAACAGGAACGAGCACAGTAGGTAAAAATACATTTTTTAACATTGAATAAGTTTATTCCTTATTGAATGTGAAAAGCGGTTATATATATATACTTGGGTCCTACGGGTCTTAAGTACACGATGAAATCAAAAACCGTGCTGCTTGTAGTTCACAGCTTTTTGAAGCACATCAAATTATGGATGCTATCTGTTTACTGGCTTTGTGTTTACTGCAACCTTTTTCTTTGCAGAGAGGTGGATATGATCAACAACTTTGCAGTGGTAGAACGTGCCGTGCTCTACGCAAACTGAACTTCCCCCAAACGTTTTAACTAACTCAGTGCTTTCACTCACAAGGTCTGAACTTACATCATGCGTTGAAGTCTTGATTGCACCTTTGTTCAAACGAGGCATCTGATGTTCACAGACGCGTTCGGATAGACACCTCATGGAGAGGCCAATTTACATAGTTTCACGGAACCAGAAAAAGGATGCGCACGGATATATTCTTTTTCCTTCTTCGTTCAGCTAAAAACACCCGAAAGGTTTGGATGTAAATACGATTTCTCGTTTTACCAACTGGAACGTTCTGTTAACTGCTTCAGACAGTATTCGCCAACTGGTTGTTGTCATACCACCGATAGGCGTGAAGTCGACATAGACGAACTTTTTTGGCAGTCCCACATGCCTTTGTCTCTTTTACAGATTTTTACGTCATCCTGTGAATAAATCGCGTTTTACTACATTGGAATATCTCAAAGAACAGCGCAATATGTTTACCAGAAATATATAATTCATCACTTTCCCGAGAGATTCAAAGTAGTATTAAGTCACATCTTAAGGAAGAAAGAATACAAGTACCTAAAACTAAATAAATCAATTCTTTCCGAAGGCAAAGTGAAATATTTGGTCTTTCCATCGCTGGACATTTACGTCATTCATTGAAAGTCAAATAAGATATCACAGAGAAGCAAATCAGAATATTATGAGAACTATTGTATCCGTCTCTCCACGAGTAAGAGTGAATAAACTCCAACATATGAAGCATGACAACTGAAATGCTACATATGAACTGAATTGAAGTAAGCATGTTTGAAGGTACCATCCCATGAACTTCATTTGAAGACGATGATCAAAGATGAACATGGTACAACTCATGAATGTCCATGAGTCGTATTCAATTAGGGATTCTGCAAAAAATGGAAATGTTGAGATTGATCACCTTGATCATAAGCTTTCTTGGGCCCGTCCTAAAGGCTTCCTGTCAGTTGGTTATAATTTGTAAGCTGAACATTCTTGTAGCAAATATGCAAATTTGATGAACTTGGTAATCAACTAAATAATCTTACCCTGTTTGTACCGACACAATTGTTCTCACAAGCCTATCGATTATAAACTACCAACGATATAACATCACTACTCTGTTGTTTTCTCGTAGTTTAGACAAAGCTGACAAATTCAGACTTCTAATTTCGTACGTACCTTATTCTTAGATGGCATTGAATGAAATTAATAAAACGTTTGTCACATATGAAAGCCTTTTCCACAAGAAGGCTCATCACTCTTTTCATTTATATTTTAAGCATGCAGCGAGGCTAACTCTGCAAGACGTTATTTGCTAGTTCACTCCCTTAAAACTGTTGTTCACCTGAAGATCTGGCATACTGAAACCCAATAATTACCTGGTCGATAAACATCAAGCCGGAAGCACAACAGAAGCAAAAATATTTGTTGTCAAATAAACTCATTTGCCTTTGACAATCACGGGTGTTTTACAAAGACTATCAGCGGTACTCTTCTTGTTTTGTGTTTCGATTGGTATTAGGCTCATTTGCTGTACGTCACCGAATATCCTGCGCTTGTGTTTTATTTGAACCCTTTCCAAGACATTTTCTCATAACGTACAAACACAAACCAACCAGTTTGAAAACCAGTGAAATGAATAGGGCCGTCATAGTGTAACAAGGAAGACGACACACGGTAGGATGCCTGTATTTCAATGGCCAAACAAGTCAAGTCATAAAACACATACAATCGTTTTACATAGGCCATTTTCAGACTGCGCAGCACCAAGATTGCTATTGCCACTACTTGAGCGCCTCGGCTGTGTTCTGGCCAGTTGTCCGTGGCCTATAGCTTGCTTTGTCTGGGTGTCACTTTTATCCGGTTAATCCGATTGTCTCAGTTGACAGCTTGATCGGTAGCCTCCCAATTGGGCTATGTTCGTGGTCGGCGGAGGTCACACAGCTTTCCATCTTGTAGTTCGTATACCCCATTTAGTCTGCTTGAGCAAGCCTCTGACATGTTCGTTATCTGTTATTTTGTCTATGGCCATCATTCGGTACGTCCGTTAGCCTTGATATTCACGTCATTCCATTGTTACGGCATTCCCCGTTACAATGGAATTGTACCGCGACGCGACATTTAGTGTGATACTGCACGTATCAGGCATCCTGGCTTGACACAAATGTCAAAAATGAAGAGATACTTTCATCTTTCATTTCTATTTGGCCACAATGTTTCTTCAACAAAGATGTGCTAGCCACGTCCAAGTCGGTTTCGTCAAAATTCAAGAGTGGGGTTGCCGGATAATTCCCTTTTTTCACGTTCAAAATATCAAAAATTAACAACTCCTTAATTTCATACCTTAAACAACCAAAACTTGGTGGCTAGGCTGCAGCACAATAAATCCCTCAGGCCGTAGTTACGCGGATACCAAATATGCCAAAATGCATGGGAAGTCCAATTATTCCGCAATGAGGTGGACCACAAGTATCACAAAAGGCAATTCACTGAGGGAAAACAAGGAAATATTTACTTGCATTGAATTGAACTGAATACCAATCGAAAGACGACGATAATTTATGTTAATAGTAACTGGGTCTGTTTTTCGCTTCAGAACATTTTCCAATGTATTTGACGTTGAGAAGGCTAAGTTCGTTAAGTAGAAGTCTTGAATGATCACGTTTGCAAATTTCAACTATATTGGTTGGTGTGATGGTTGAACACGGGCTACTTTATGCGGAACAGCGTGATCCCGACGTAGAAAAACCGTCCATTAGCCAAGAGGCATATGTTCATTGAATGAGGTCATGATATCGGTCAATAGTTGACCACATTTCCGAATATTTGAATGGCTTGTGATTAGAGAATACCAATTAACTAACCGTGATTTGTTTCAATTCAGATAACATTATTTGAGTGTCATATCTCGATATACGGCAGGATGTCCCTTGGCTAGTGTGTGAAGAGCGATTGCTGAACCCTTCCCTAGTTTCTGTAAGGATATCGTGTTGGAGGGCTTGTATTTCTCTTCACTTTTATGTGCCATTTATTCTAGTCCTTAGTTGTCTGCATGTTTGTCTCATATATTCGGTTGGACATTCCTTGAAAACTGACTTTGTAAATGCATTTGGTTTGGTTTCGTAGGTTGATTGAATCCTTGGCTTTGGTGAGTAATGCCAATCCGAAAGAATTTGCAGATATTGTGCTAACTGAGAACGTTTTGAATTACCTCAGAAGTGCCTCATATATATGGAATGCCCATTGAAGTCAGATTGCTTTTACCTACAGCAGCTTGTTTTGTTGGTTTATTTTCTCTCCTTATCTGGTTTGTTGTTAGACGCGTCGAGTAGTGATTGCCATGAAGGATTTCCCCCGAACGTATAAAATCTTCTTCACGAGTGATATCCTCATACAAATAGATTAATTACGCCCAACCAAGAGTGTGCAATATCCCAATGAACTGAAAACCAAATGTATGAAACAGGACAACAGAGGAAGCATAAGGACTGACTACGTTGAAGCGGGATCATTCGATTCATATCAATATTGGCAAAAACAATGTAACCGCCATCTTTAACGGATCTGACTACGAACCAAAAGCATTGGAACACGTTGTAAATGGGCTCAAGGTGATTTATGGATGACAAGGACAAAATGACACTTGTAAGTGTATTCATTACACCAAATTCGGGGTTGCAAGCCTTAGAACGACGGTTTATATGGGCAGCCATAAACTATGGACAACATTTCCTATTTGAGTGAGATGTAAAATTCATTCCTCATATTGATGAGAGAAGTCAATACACTTCTTTCGCTTACCAGATACATTTTTACCGAGGTAAACATTATATGCCGTAAACAGAATAATTCAAACACAATGATGTCCAAGTAACTTGAATACCAACCAGATATCATCTCGATAGTAATTCTAGTTAGTAGTACCAACAAGCTTTTCTAGGTACCACGGACATAACAGCGTTGACACAGAGCAGCTGAAAATCGAAATATGCCTTTTGCGAGCACAAAACTTTGAATTGTACTGGAATGTGGCACTTGACAATGGACGCTATAATAACGTGCAAATGTATTTGCCCTTATTATGGGGATCGTATTTCATCACCACAAAGAACAGACAAGGAGATGAAGAACTATATGCCTTGCTTAGTTATGTGCATCCCAAAATATGGTTGACATTCCACAATGTGGACATGGTCGCCGTGGTTTTCAACAAAGCCATCGATGAAAGTGACATTGCATCTCCTCACCGAATCAAAATCTACTTAGGCACCTGCCTAGGCAGCACGGGACGGTAGCAACTTCATCCAATGACAGAACACGTCCCAATGTGACTTCTCGAGGCAATGAATAGCTATCTCACCACGACTGCATCATCAACCGTGCAAAGATGAACTAGGTTATCAACTGAAAGACATCGTTCCAAGACTAAGCATTGCAGTATCGGAGGTCAGAAGTTCAGAGTGATCAATTTGATCACGAGTAAGAAACCTTTTTGAAGTGCACGCAAATAACATGAGCTTGGGATCATTTTCTCATTTCCGTGGTAAGAATGTTTGATCTTTCTCCCATGCTACACCTCAACATGTACATATGTGTGTCTAGTGTGACTTTGCTTTCGTTTATATACATTCCGTTCATCCGTTTTGCTATAAAAATAATCACTTTGACTGCAATTTGCACCTTGTGAAGAAGCAATACAATTAACCGGGATACTTCTTGCGATCTGCATTTTTGCTTCTATCGGGAAAGTTGCTGTGATAATTCCATTTATTCAATACATTCTCCACTGTCCGGTAGCAAAGAGAACTACGGATACTGATACTCTTTCTATTTTGTTATATTTTACCGAAGTAAACTTACTATGGGGTAATACCTACACCGCACAGAACACGTTTTGAAATCAATACAATTTTATGGCTTCGATCAGTTGATGACAAAAGCCTTGTTGTTAATCAGTATCGTCTTATCAGTTATTCGATTCTTTTTAAAATTATTCAAACTTTTCACAT